TCTTCAGCGCCACTCAGTATATAACAATTTATAATTTTACACACCGCGCCATGTTACACCGATATATGTTGTAGGACACGTCGAGATATAAAATCGTAACTTGAACTGTGTTTGACGAGATGTAATCCCGGATGCAATACTAATTCTTATTAGGCTTCATGCAACGGTAGAAATGGGCAAGCCAAAATCATTCAAATACTTGTAGGATGAGTTGTGTTACATTATATTACATTAACATTACGACGTAAATTGGCTTACTTTTTTAAGTTGCTATTGTCAGTAAAATCATATCATTAACACTACACTTCACTGCTCACTTCATTGTTGCTGCCCCGATCATCGGTAACGCATACTATAATATACAAAAAAATCGCCGGGTCTATTTTCCAAATATAGAAACTTGTAATTAACAACAATATGTGTACAATAGTGGATGCATATCATTTTCGGAATGACAATTACTGCTGTATAAAATTCCGTAGGATAATGTCGCAAAGTGGGGCGAGTTGGCCAGTAAGTCCAATCAAATGCCGTTCTGCGATGTTCCATTGAGGACAGAATTACGTTATATATATTTTCTTTATGGGGTAAGCTAAATAAAACCATGTTTATTAAGTAATGAAAAGATATGCAACCACGCGATACGTCTAATAGACAATAAGGGCTGCGACTAACCATTACAGTACCAGAATAGTAAGCATTGTGACGTGTTCTAAACTATTATATACATACAATGGTGGCAGCATGGTTGCTCGCTGTTCATGCCATGTTTCTGTATCGCCATGCACATGTGTATGTCATCGACATACATTTATTGTGGACCGTAGGTCTCTCCGGTCGTTTGACATATCAGGTCCCATGTTCACACCGGCTAACAGATTCTAAGTTCGCATCGCATGACAGGAAGCTCTACACAATTGTGTCAAATCGTTATACATGTTATAATAATTGTTCATGTTACGAAATTGTCTGTCAAACAGTATCACGAATACTACACTTTCGTTAATTATAATTTCGCAGGACTGGAGATATGATTGAAGAAATCTATCTGTGACCAATCTTCAGAGTCGATTATTTACGCTTGATAGTAAACATTTGCTTGCACACTGTCACTAATTTAGTCACGGTCACCACGCATACTACTGCGCCGTGAGTGTTTCATATATAATATGTAGTAGGTTTTGTCTGGCGAACGAGCACAGGTGAGCGGTTTTATTTTTTACTAAAAGTTACACTAGGTAACCATAGAACGTCGGTAGTCCAGTTCACGCGCGAGTTGACCGAAATTCAAGTTCAAGATGGCGCCGCGGACGATTAGTGTGTCGCCGTTGATCACAATGGCCCGAAATTAAATTTTTAGTTCAACTATTTTCAGTCCTTTGTCAGAAAACGTTTACCCTATCATTAGTCAGCATTCTTAAGATGCTTTACCATGAATGAGTTGTCTCGCTTTGCATATTTTTTTGAAACAAACAAACAAACAAAATGGCGCCGCCCTGCACCGTCTATAAATTACTGTGGTCGTCGCGCAGCGCGTGTTCGAATTTCATGTAAATAAAGAATGTATTTTACACGCGTTGTATACGTCGCTATGAGTCCATATCGAACAAGACGCGGCACGACGACTGCCGCCCTTTATTATTCTATATACAAACATGTTATCTATAGAGCTCATAATGTATCGTAACAATGGAGATTGTATAGCTAGCTATATGGGGAATTCTCTGCGAGCATTAATTCTCACTGATTTATACATGTCTGAACATGCTACTCCATAGTGTTGATATATAATAAATTATTAACGACACATTGAAATCAAAAAGTCAATTTGATGTCAGCGAGATAGTGCAAAAGTATGAATACCAACAAAAATGAGGACTGTGCAAATTAAATTGCCAAGTGTGTGTGCGTTGACAAGATCTTTTAACAAGTAATTGTTTTACCGAAATTGTTTGCAAACACAATTATTATCTTCTGACTGAAATGGCAGACACACTTGAGAGCACACTCAGTCATCTCTGGCCATGTATTATGCTGAATCAGTTTAAATGGAGCCTGAGGATGATCCACATTTTCCCTAATCTACAAATGCTATTCGGCACTGCACGTAACCGTCACATTAACCTGTATTCTGTGTACCGTTGAAACAATATTATTAATACGTTAGAAACGTAGAAATAATAACGTACAATACGATTCCAATACTAATTTGGGTACACTACATTATGTAATCATGTCAGTGAGATAAAGATATATATACCTTATGGTATGTACCAGAAGAGATGTCAGGCGTTTCGAAAATACTAGTAGTAAACACATTCCGTATAAATCAATGTTATTCGTTGAGGGCGCTCTGTCGCTTAGGAATGACACATGAACAAAATCGCATACAATTTTTACTGAACCTGTGATCATGGGTTCTTTCAACCCAACCAGCAAATTCCATGGTTTGAAATATGATCACAGTGGCTTTGGAAGTCCGTTAACGCGCGGTGGTCGTCGCGCAGCGCGTGTTGGAATTTCATGTAAATAAACAATGTATTTTATACATCGTTATGAGTCCCATATCGAACATGACGCGGCACGACGACTGCCGTCCTTTAAACGTCTCAGTCACGTTTTGTTGTAACGGTTCTTATAATACGGGCTTGCGATTTTTCAGAAAACTGCAAGTAACGAATGGTTGGGTAATCATGGATTTGAAGAAGACTTGTCTAAAATACAAGGCCGAGGAAGCCATGAGAACACTCGGCGTTCTTCGTTATAACAACATTGCTGGCAATATTAACTCTATCTATGAATAGTAAAATTAGTAAAACAGGCTATGTTGTAAAACTTAAAATATATTCAAGATAAAATATATTCTTTGTATGCATTATAACAGATTTGAGTTGTGTATAGTCCGTGATAAATCTTATCCAACATAATCCTGAAATCGAATTTAGTAACACTCCCAAAAACAGTGCAAGTCATTAAAATTCATGTCTGCAAATGGATTTCAGTGGTTTCAGTATGTTCGATTTAATAAGTATGCACCATTACGTTGTTTCTGTCAAGTGCATATAATAGCGTCAGCGCTCTAATTGTTGATAAACCAAACAATTTCGTCATTTATAAAAAATAAAACTGAAAAAAAGGGGTACCGAAAATAAGACGATTGCATGCCTTGCCTCCAGAACTTTAGTATAAATATTTAAGGTTCATTAAGCCGAGCTAGGGAGCATGTCATATAAAACAAGGAAATTAGCCGAACGACCATGTAATCTTATTTGCTATTGAATTACAGTAATGTATACGTGAACAATTTATACTACCGTTTCGCAATAAAACTGAATTATTTAATGCTTTATCACGCTAGCATATAAATATGTATGTGCGAGGTCTCAAAGCGACGTAAATGCGCGTAGGCATTTGTGAATAAAATGAGCGATGGAAATACAGAAACTGCTACAGAGCAGCTAGAGTGTGATAAATACATTGATTGCCTCAAACTCTCGGTACTTAGTGTTATTGCTATATCATTCAATTGCCAACCGTCGGCAGTCATAATTTCAATCTAACACCTCGCATATCATCCCTTATTCTGCATAGTATTTGCATTAATCGTTAAGAGCATCATTGGCGAGGCTGATTACCTTATCCAAGACTTGTGATTGCATTTTGAGAAATGAAAATATTACAGAGGCAATTGTGTACATTTCAAGGAAAGCTTTCGATTTCCTTGAGGTTGTGTCACACTTATTAGAGTGAACGGACTTTACCATTGTTTTTTAGTAGTTAAGTGATGGGCAGACGGACCTCGGATTACCTTTGGAAATAAACTGGTTGCTATGGTGTCTTGCCGGTGTTGTGACATGTAATTAATTTGGTTGTTGGAGATGTACAGTGTATATACGCCATATATTGATTGGGGCGTCGCCCCTCCAAAATCAAGCTGAAACCTTTTGTGTCAGCAAAATTTACCCCTCAAAATACAGGGAAAAGCGTTTCAGAGAGTTTGAATTTCATTTTTTTAAGGGGAGCATGCCCCTGGACTCCCACTCCCCTCCATGTGAAATTTCGTGCCGCCGCCCCGATGACAAGTTCAGCCTGGTATAAATGACTGTGCATATATTATGACGAGTGAACATTGTGACGTCACAAAGAATATTGCCAAACAATGAGTTGTTTTGCAGTTTGTCGCGTTATGGCTTCCGTCGTGTGTAATTCCGCTCTTAAATACCCTTTCTCCCTCTCTCTATCGGGACCACATGCTGTTATCATGAAGATTATCGTACCCAACATACATTGGTTAGTTGCCGGGTTTATTTGTTCCTGTTCCACACAAAAACCTCGGTTAAATACTAGGCTTTGAACAGCGCCAGGCATCATGGATCCAAATGCTTTCACAACACATGGTAAACATTTGCCGCAGTTTCCCGCTCTGGTGCACGTTTGGGAATTGTAAATATGTCGATGCCTGTACCAAATTGTGGCAATTCTCTTGCTCGAATTAATCCTACAAAAAAAAAAAAAAAAAAAAACTACACGGACAGCTACATCGCGACGGAATATTTATCTTTAACATATTTGACAGCAAGAATTAGAATGTGACGTAAACAACGAATTCATGTTAGATGGTAGTAAAATGGTATAACAAGTATATCGTGTTTATGTTCATGTTTAGGTCTTATACAAAACCGTACACCCACCAGTGTCGTCTTCCTCGCCACAATGCGAGTAACTTGAATAAAATGGCTTAACATTGTACAACCTAATATCACGACGGTCTACCGTAATGGCATTACGAATAAATGGGGTCATTCACCTTGGATTCGTAATTTTACAAACATTTTAATGACCAGCTTTAGTTCACTATTTTGTGAAGATAAAACTACCATTTGATTGTGATTTGATATTGTCACGTGGTTGCAGTACAATATGACCGACAATAATTCATTATATTTATATCCATTTCTCATATCCAGGTAATCACAGTTTCCTGAATCAGTCTCGTCACAATGACGTCACCAGCCTATAATATCGCTTATTCTAGGAATACAACTTCAGAAGAAAACATAGTTATAATGACTTCGACAACTTTTAATATCACGTATTCCGAAAATTTGACATCAGAAGAAAGTTATCCAATGTCATGTCCATTCGCGAATGCAGACGCCGAGTTTATGATCTATATCTTATCAACTATTATTGCTTTGGCTGGAAACTTGGCTTTCTTCATTGTGGTAAGCAAGGTGAAAGTCATGAGAACTGTGACGAATGTGTTTTTCATGAACCTGTCAGTCGCTGATATCATATTCTCCTGTTACTATTTGTTTTATTCCATAGCTGAAAAATGGCAGTTGGAATCTTTCTTGAAATTTGACATGCAAGGCGGACAGGCCATCACGGATATTGGATTTTGTGCTTCCTTGCTGATAGTCGCATTGATCAGTATCAATCGGTACATTGCAATTTGCTTTCCATTCAAAGCATTACAGCTAAGGCTACAGAGTAAATCCAGAGTTGTCACATCGCTCACAGTCTGCTGGCTGTATAGTATAGTCGTCGCCTTGCTTGATGTTATCAGTTATATCAATTACACTGACAGAACGTTGATAATTGTCGTTATTCTTCTCATGATAATCTGCATAACACTCTCTGTCGTTACTGTCATGACAACGTATACACTGATAACCATTAATATGTTTACGAGGACCCCACCACGCTACTCATCCCCGAATAACAGTGAACAATTTCATACCTCAGACGAAACCCGAGTATTGTTCGTCTGCGTGACGATAACAGTCGTTTTCTTCATTTGCTGTATTCCTCTTGCCGCATACTACGTAATTTTAGCCATCAAAATAATATCAGGCATATCAGTAATACCAATAAGAAATTCGATTTGTTTACGTTACATAGCCAGGGTAATGATACCACTCCAGTTTGCAGCGAATCCTATAATATACAACACTGGAAGTAAAAATCACAGAGCCGCATTCAGGAAAGTGTTTTGGCCGAAAAGTCAACATGCACAACTTGATTCTAATCGTGAAATCAACCGGTCACCTCGGAGTTTAACCAAACTGAGCATGGAAATGCCCACCTGTGTGGAAAGGCCAGCCACTTTAGAAACTGATACCTGATAACGAGTCTAGTCTTATGAAGTGCCATTACAAAGACACTACAGAATTTCATTCCAAACGGAAATGATATATATTCATAGTATATAGTATCGACAAAAATGTAGACAATAGAAGAAATGATATAATGGTATTCACACACTAGTTAGAACACACAATGTGCATTTCAAATATATTTCAATTACAGTATGTATTTATACAATTGTGTATGTATTTAATAATTCCTGGCCTTTCGGTACAATTGTTTAGCTATATATCAAATTGAATGTCACATAAATGTCACAGATGATATGTAAACATTCTATATGTATATTCAAATCAAGTAAGTCAATGTCAAAGTCAATTGGAATAGTATAAGGTGCCGAAGCAGATAATGAAACCAAATATGGATGCGAGAGATTTCAGTAATATAAAGGAAGTACAGGTACCTTGTGAATTGCAAACTATTCTATGGAGTTCTGTAGTTATCATTGTTCATATTTCTACCTGATGTATGTTGCATTCAGATATTGTTTGTTTACGTGTTAAATATGATACAATATTTAATGGTTATTACGAGAATACCTCAAAGTATGCACAAAGACAGTACAGCTGGAGTATCGATGTCTGAATACTGTCTGAGTGCATTGTTTTAGGTATTCTCTTAATAACCTTATTATTATTATTATTTTATTATTTTTTCCTTCCAAGGATACACCGTTGGAATGCCAAAATTCAAAATGTTCAGAACAGAATCAGCGAACTTCTTTTTTTTGGAGTCCGGTTAAACTCTGGTGGCAGCCATGTTTGTTTTTATTATTAGAGGACGCTTACGCGCGTAATTATTCCATATTAAAATTCGCATTTCCTAATATGGTAGGATGAAAATATCCCGTAAAATACCGCAACATTTCGGCACGCTGTAACTTACAGCGTTACGGTGACAGATGTATAATATTAACGTATATTTGAAAATAAAACTTGACGAGATTCTTCATGTCTTTGATGTAATATGCGGGCGGAAAGACAGACAGACAGGTAGATAGCGGACTAACTCACTGACAGACGTAACCTGACATGTAGGCGTGAGTGGTGCTCTGACCGGCTGAACGGCATCAGACCTTACTAACGCCTGGCAGAATAGTGTCTCGTCGGCAAGATCTATACTGGAATTCGCAAAGTTCACGCCTTCTTGAATTTAGTTTTAATGAATATTCATTTTGCTGGTCATGGTAATATCGTCAATCAAAGCCGTGTTGGCATTGTTGGTGAAAATCAAAGACTATTTTCACCAAGATGAGAAACATTTGGCGGAAATAAACTCTCCCGTAACCCTTTGATGGCTGTCACTATCACTAGGGTTGATCGTTGAGGGCGTTTACGAATGCACGTAAGTGTAAATCGTCTCCCAAATTTCTCCAATTTTTGCTGCTCCACTAGATAAAATCTCACGTAAAGATTAACTGTAAGTACTGTGAATACATACTTGATTTGCTGTGAAAATACCAGCAGTATGGGAATAACCATCGCTGCGTACAGAGCAAGAATTGGTTGTTTTACACAGCCAACTGCCGCCAAGGTGAGGTGTCCATTAGTGACACCTATACATTTACATGACAATGGAATCAGTCTGGTGATGAGTTTACGACTTATCCTTATGCTGCTGTGTATTGGCAATGTGGAATCCAACCCAGGCCCAAAGGACACAGCTAATGGCAGAACTTCGCAAAATTGGCAAAGAACTGAATGGTAAAATGGACAACATAACTGCAGAAATCTTCGAAATAAAAGCGACCCAGGATAAACTACAACAGACGTGTTCACATTTAGCCAACAAATTGCAAGACTTATCCAAAACAGTATGGAACATAACTGCTGACGTGGGTGCATTAAAATATAGCATGCATGTTAACAAACTGGATGTGGAGGCACTTAATGAGAAACTAGACACACTTACAAATCAGGTCGAAAATTTGGACGATGACGTTGACAAACAAGAAGCAATTAGTAGAAGAGACAATGTCATTTTGTATGATATCAAACAAGAAGTTAGCGAGACTTATGAAAACTGCAGAGACAAAGTGATTGAAATTCTGACCCGTAAGGTGAAAGCAAAATCATGGATAAATCGCGATATCGTGAGAGCACACCGCCTGTACGGTCAATCAACTGGAAATCCAACGCCAATTGTCGTCAAATTCCATCATTTCGAAGACAAACTATTAGCACTGTCGGCACGCGCTGATCTGAAAGTAGACTGAATTGGAATTGGTAGTGACAAAACCAAACGGCAGCGTAGATGTCTGGCTAATCTGAGAAAACAAGGACGCAAGGGATACTACAAAAATGGCAAATTGATCGTGATCAGTGACGACAACACCGTAGATCATTTTCAGCGACAAAATGACCCACGCCACATAGGGACGGTGAATGAATTTTTGATGTCGACTAGAACCGGACCAAGAACTCGCCTACAAACAATGTTAGCCAATAATAACGACCCGGGATCCTCTACAGAATAGGAAAACGGCCACGGTCTGAAGCAATTGAAATTCGTATCATGGAATATTAGAGGTTTGGTAAATACACTAAATTCATCCGAATTTATTAATTATATCTATAATTATGACATAATTTCACTATTAGAAACATGGGCAGCAAACCATGACCAATATAATACCCATTTTCCTGGTTACACTGTTTTCGGCATTTCAAGACCAAGATCTCCAAAACGTGGGCGATTTGCGGGGGGAGTATGTGTATTAGTTAAGGACTGCATATCTAGCTACGTTAAACGTATACATGTAACATTACACGATTGTGTTATTTTATTATTCAAAGGGCAACTGTTCAATACAGAGAAAGATGTTCTCTATTGTAGTGTTTATATTCCGCCACAAACATCCACCGTCTACCACAGTTTGGACACGAACAACGGTATCAACTTGTTAGAGTTTGAATTAACAAATATTTTGACAAGCCTCCCAGATGTTCATATTATTATCGGCGGTGATTTTAACGGGCGAACCGCAAATGAAATTGATCACATTTTAGATGATAATTCTCAATTTGTGGTAGACAATTCGGTTGGCTATGTGGAAGATTTCTTCCAAGTACCACGTATATCAAAAGATAAAGAAATTGATCTATTTGGTCGTTCACTTCTAGATCTCTGCTGTACTTTTAGTATTCATATGCTGAACGGTAGAATGAGGAGTGATAAAGGTGTAGGAGACTACACCTGCATCACACACAATGGGACAAGCACTGTTGACTATGTTCTCGTCTCATCGTCATTGTTTTATAAGGTGCTAAATTTGTCTATTGATACTCGGGTGGAGTCTGACCATTTGCCTTTGACCTTTACGTTGCCATGCTGCAGCAGGCAGAATGAAAAAGTTCAAATCCCTGATAAAGTCGGTACTCTGAAAAAATGTGTCTGGGTGGAAAACCGTGCAATTTCTTTCACGCAAACTATCTGTTCAGAGGCCACAATAAATAAACTAAATACTATTCTAGAAACTCCAGATATTGGAAACACAGTCTGTGCTAAGATAATCCATAGTATGTTAAAGGACGCAGCTGGGAAATGTCACATGATTAGATCGAATAAAAGTACTAAGCGTGACCAGCCAATATGGTTTGATACAGAATGCACTTCATATAAAAAGAAACAATATAAGCTATTGCGAAGATTCCGCCAAACAAATAATGTACACCAATTACGCGAATACCAGGTTGTTCGCAATGAATTCAAAAATATATGCAGGAACAAAAAACGTGAATACTTGGAAAACCAAAGAGCTAAACTTATGTCACCTCAAACAATT